TTAGTTTTCCTTCTAACAGGCCCCTCTACTGTAGGATTGCTGGAGGTCCATTCCAGACCTTGCTTGCCTGGGAATCACCTGCTGGAGCTTCAGAACAGCAAGGATTGCTGCCTGATCTTTCCTCTGGTAGTTTCATCCCAGAAGGGTACCTGCCAGATGTCAGCCAGAACTCTCCTGTATGAGGTATCTTTTGGTTGTATGGGGCTCAGGGAGCCCTGGAGGAGGCGGTTTGTCTTTTATTGGAACTCAAGTGCTGTGCTGGGAGCTCCATTGCTCTCTTCAGAGCTGCTGGGTAAGGGCATTTAAGTCTGCTGCAGCAGAACTCATAACTGCCCCTTTTCCCAGGTGCTCTGTCCCAGGAAGGTGGGGTTTTATTTATAAGACCCTGATGTACTGCTGCCTTTTTTTTTTTTTGTTTTCAGAGATGCCCTGCCCAGCAAGGTGGGAGTCTAGTCAGAGTCTGCCTGCAAAGGTATTGCTGGGCTGCTATGGGCTCAGTCCAGCTGTTGTGTAAGATTCCTCTGGCTTTTATTTACACAGGTAGGGTTAGAACCGCCTCAGCAATGGCAGCAATGGGGAAGGATGCCCTTCCCCCGACCAAGCTTGATCGTCCTGGGTGGAGCTCAAACTGATGTGCTGGCTACAAAACTCTCAAGCTAGAGGGTTTCAGTTTGCTGGTCTTTGTGAGGGTGGGACCTGCCAAGCTGTATCATTTGTCTCCCTGCTTTCAGCTCCCCCTTCTTTCTGGGGAGCGGGGAGCTCTGTCTCGCAGGCACTCCCAGAGCCAGCCAAAACATCTGCCTAGATTTGTGCCGACAAGCTGTGGCGCCTGCCAGAGCAGCCACTGAGATCTGTGCTGGTAACTCACGGCGCTTGTCAGCCTGGCCAGGATCTCCTAGTCTGTGGGCTGTAAAACCCATGGGAGAAGCACCGTATCTGAACCAGAGTGTCTGAGGGGAAAAGTCCCCTAGTCCTCTGGTCAGTTGCACTTCCCAGGTGAGGCAGCAGCCTGCCCTGCCTTTGTTTGCCCTTCTTGGGCTACACTCACGTCCAACCAGTCCCACTGAAATGTACCTGGTAACTCAGTTGGAAAAGTGGAGATCACTCGCCTTCTGCATCACTCTCCCTGAGAACTGCACTCTGGAACCTATTTGGCCATCTTGGTGGAAGTCAGTGATATTTCCTTTTACAGTGCTTTGGTTGATTGGGGTAAGGGGAAGAGAGTACAAGAAATCTAGGCAGTTGGCCTCTTTTGACATCTTGGACAGCCCAGAGCTTCTTAAGAGCCAGTTGCTGATGCTAATGCATCGGATTTTATCTGAAAGCCTGTTGGGCTGAGTTCAGTGGTTTTGGGACTGGGTTAGGACTGCTGGGGCTGTGGGTAACCAATACCACAAAGAGATGTAAGAAATAGCGCTAAACTTAAAATAGTCTTGGGTGTGTCCTGGATTTGCAAAGTTATTGGAAAAACCAGCCTCAACAAATGAATAGAGCCTAGAATTTGCATCAAGCCTGCTGTGTGTTAGGGATGAGGTGGGGGTAGCTGGTTTACCTCTCTTTACTAAAGTCAATCCAGCTATGCAGTGGAGTTGGGAGAGATGTGGAGCAATATATATTCTTTGCTTCTTGCATATTTTGGCACAAGTGAGATTGCCCAAATTCTTGTGCACAATTATTTTAGATCCTTATAAGTTGTAGTGGATAGTTACCATTTTGATGTCTGTCAAGCAACTTGGTATTTTGTGAGATTCCCTCATAGGATTTCATATCATTGTGAAGCTGGCTTCACCTCCCTGCCACTAAGGAAGCCCTAAATGCTCAATTTTATTTTTCCCTGTGTTTTGGCAACCATAGCTCAGGCATGTAAATAGACTCAGCAAATCAGAGGCTCCTACCCTGGACCTTGACATTTGATGAAGTGGGGTCAGAATTCTATCATGAAGTTAGCACTGATGGCAGCAGTTGTGATGAGAGCAATGTCCTGGCCAGACTGTCTCCCCTGCACAATGTTGACTGTGTTTCTTTCTCCTTGGCCCACTATAGGAACTTTAGTTCCTGTTTTTAGCCAAGACTGATCTTGTAGACTGCTTTTGTCAATTCTGACAGCCTTGTAATAAAACATCATTTTGTTTAGGTAGCAAAAAAAATTAGTTTCTGTTACTTACAGACAAAAGCATTCCAACTGACTGAAATTCACTTTCAAATGGAGAGGCAGCATAGCACACTGGTTAAAAACGGGGGCTCAGGAACCAGGCTGCTTGGATTTGAATCTCCAGCTTTGCCACTTACAGCTATATGAACTAGCTTCTCTCTGTATCAGTTCCTCAATTGTAAATGTGGACCAAATAGTTGCATTCTCATTGGATTGTTTTAATGCTTAAACAGCATATGTACTAAAATTGCTCAGAACAGTGCCTGGTATTTAATAAGCACATTGTATTTAACAGAGCCCCAATAAAATATGAGAAATCTGGGATGGATGTCTAGCCTAGGCAAGGCAGCATGCAACGAGTGTTCTGTTATTATTCCAAGATAGAATTCTAGTTCGTGGCGCATAGTGGCACATGTTTAGTAGCACATAGTCAATCAAATTACTACCTTCAGTCATTTGGAATAAAGTACCTAATAAGGGCAAAGCTTGGGAGATTGTTTTGCTGCCAATTCAAGGTCTGCAGGATAAGGAAGCTACTTAGCATTGAATAGCATTTTTAAGAAATGACGCACTAAAATGTTTAAATTCTCAGATTTTCTATGGACAGTCTGAAAGAATCTTTCCAGTCATAGCTTCAGGACTGAGATAACTGGAAACCAAACTTAGCAGAGATTTTTTTTCCTTTGCAGACTGTCATATTACAACATCTGTTGAATAAATCAACTTGTGATGTTTTTTCAGCTGGATCCCTGTTCAGGACAGAAGCGAACACTGAAACATTGGGTTAGACGTGTATGGCAGCATCCATATATGTCTATGTATCTTGGTATCTAGAACCCGTCCGCTTCACTGACGTTCCCTGGCCCATGTCTGAGGGAGTTACCCTATAACATCAAGCCAGTTTCCCTTTTGATCTAACTCTCTACACTATTTTAATCCCTTCTTTTCTCCAAACCTGTAATTAGATTAGATCCTGTCATACTCCAAGGAAAAAATAATAAATCAAATCAAGAAATAGAAGACGTGAATCCCAAAAGAATTGTAGAACTTATTAATTTATATCTGCAGAAGTGTGTGAATGAATTTAGAGGGTCCTCATCAAATTGGAAGAAAAGTAACTTTATATTGGACAGAATTTATCAGTATGGATGAACTTGTCAGAGATCCCAGTTTTTGTGTGCTTGTTGGTACGGGATGTAACTAGTCAATGTACAACTGTGTTCAGTGCTGACCTCTAAATAAAATTGAGATGCCAAGAAAAATTTTGGCATAATGTAGATAAATTTTAATTTGGGGGGAATCACATGCATTCTCACACTCCCTAAGTCACCAGGGACTGCCCAGAAAAATCTCTTTTAATTTAAACCTTAGCAGATATTGGTAAGTGAAGTAGGAGCATCTTTGAGAAACCCTTTGGTGGCTGTTCTGTGTAGTACAGAGGACTTGATAGAAGGTGCTGCACCTAAAATGTGCTCCCTGATTTCAATGTCAATAGATATATCCCAGGATGGAAAAAAACACAAGCAGAGAAACTTGACTGGCAGAGACAGAATAAACTTGATTACCATAAGAGAAAGGAGTATAAACATAGCAAACAGAACAGTCTAAGCCACCAGATCATTGGTGGTGGGTGATTGCTCACAAGGTCCTTTAACTGTAAGGATGGGTTCCCTACTGAATTAGTCTGGATAGGCTGGTTTATGCTGTGTTAATATAATGCCCCCGCCCCAAGTCTCAATGACTTAGCACGTAAAAGTTTATTTCTCATTTACACAAAGTCGGCCACTGGTCTGAGTGACTCTCTAGGGCTGCTGATCATGCAGTGACCTAGTCTGCTTTAGTCTTGTGATCTAACTCACAGTTTCCATGGAAGGGAAAGAGACCACCTGGGGAATCCACGCTTGCTCTTCCAGGCTTCAGTCCCGAAGCATCACGTTACTTCTGCTCACAGTCCATTGAGCAGAACTGGTAACATGGCACCACTTAACTCTAAGGGGGCAGGGAAATGGATGACCCAGGAGGACCATTTGTGAACATCACTTTTTCTCCCATCCCTAAGGCCCCACTGGCTATATGTAACTGTGTAAGCAGAGGCCTGACTTCAACTGCCACCATATTATAGTGACTGCAGCCTCCTGCTCAATGTCCAGACTCAAGTTAAGTGAGAGGAACCCTTGAATGAAGGGAAGATTGGGTACACTTGAGGAAAAGTCCCGCACAAACAGCCAAGGACATACTGAGAATTTTACTCCTATTCTTTTCCAGAGGTCCCTGTGGATATTTACCCTCCAAGAAAGGTAATTATCTAAACCTTGTGTATATATCAAACATCAGGTCTAAACTCATGCTGCTGTGTACCCAGAACACCATAGTGATCTAACATTCAGAACGAATGTTTGTTCTAAACAGGTGACAAGCGGAGTTTTTACCTATGTCACTTAATGATGGTAGAACGATGGTACTCAAAACCCATGTCTTAATTAATGGAATAAATATACCTGGGAAAAATCCTCTTCCAGTCTCCCTTACCAATGGAGGGAGGAAAAAGATGCAAGGAAGGGAGATGAAAATAGACAAGAGGAAGTCTCTACACTTTCTGCTTCCTACCAAAATAATAAATCAAAATAAAAACCACATCTTTATGAGAATCATGGAAATCAGTGTTATCATCAAATACTTAGAAATATACAGGAGTCGGGATTCCAATTCACTGGCCCATTTTGTTCTGTGGTTTAGCCACTGCCATGGATAGATACACCTGGAAAACGGCAGTGCATTGTTGTGACTTTAATAATGTAGGACTCTAACTGCAGTGCTTTTCCTTTCTAGTCTCCTTATTAGAACAAATCAGTATAGCCCTTAATATTGAGCATCGAGTCATTAATCTGACAAATGTTTCCCCCCCCCCCACAATTTCCAACAAATAGAGGACACCAGAAGCAATTTTCTTTTACTCGATGGGACAAGTGTACACTTTTAAGACTTTCTTGGAGACATCTCAACTGTCCTTTGACCAGGATCATCTCTCTTTTTCCACTTTACCTGGAAAGAGTGATGCACAGAATCAAAGATTTAGGTGATTGCTAATGGTTTAATCAAATGGTTAGGGAGTTGGAAGGAGCAAAATTTGAGGATTGGTATGATAATATTTTGTCCCATGTGAAAAATTATCAAAATTTTCCTATTGCAGAAAATCAGGTGAATATTAGTTAGACTTCATCTCCAGCCACTGCAGGCTTGCTTGTGGTAAACAGAAGAGCCCTCCATAGCTGTTCATGTCTGAATAACTGAATCTTGGAAATACACTGTGTTACTTGACTAAAGAAACTTTGCAAACATGGTTAAGCTTATGAATCTTGAGATGGGAAGGTTATCCTGTATTATTGTGGGAACCCAGTCTGATCAAATAAATCAAATGAATCCTTAAAAGGGGAGAATGTTGACCGGGCACAGTGGCTCATGCCTATAATCAAAGCACTTTGGGAGGCCGAGGCAGGTGGATCACAAGGTCAAGAGATAGAGACCATCCTGGTCAACAAGGTGAAACCTTGTCTCTACTAAAAATTCAAAAATTAGCTGGGCATGGTGGTGCATGCCTGTAGTCCCAGCTATTCAGGAGGCTGAGGCAGGAGAATTGCTTGAACCCAGAAGGCGGAGGTTGCAGTGAGCCGAGATCATGCCATTGCACTCCAGTCTGGGTAACAACAGTGAAACTCCATCTCAAAAAAAAATAAAAATAAAAAGTGGAGAATGTTTGCTGGCAGAAGAGTCAGAGTATTGCAATACAAGAAGAAGCAGATATATTAAGTGATATATGCATTTAAAGTGATATGTATATACACATATATGTATATACACATATATACATATCACTTTAAATGCATATATCACTTAATATATCTATACATAACATTGAGTGTGTGTGTGTGTGTGTGTGTGTGTGTGTGTGTGTGTGTACTCAGCCTGTGAGGACTAGCTTTGAAGAGACAGAAAGAGGTAACATTAGGAGCTCAGGAATGCAGAGGCCTCTGAATGCTAAGAATAGCCTCCAGTTGAAAACCAGCAGGTGAAGTGGGGAGCTCAGTCCCACACCCTTCAAGGAGCTGAATTCTATCAATACCTTGAAAAGGCAAGGAAACAAATTATCTCTAAAATCTCTGAAAAGAAACATTGCCCTGCCAACACTTTGATCTTGTTCAGATGAGACCCACATCAGACTTCTGACCTACAAAACTGTGAGATAATAAATTTGTGTTGTTTAAAACACCAAATTTGTTGTGATTTTCTTATGGCAGCAATATAAAACTAAAATATTGCTGAATATTTTCACGGACAAAGCTAAGTTGGTGTTGATTCTATTCTTCAGAATACAGTGCGTGTTCAGAATAAGTAGTAATACGTAGTGCTGTTTTGCAGATGGAACAGCAGGTCCATGTAACCAAGAGGTGACAGGAACGGGGACTAAGAATAAGGACTTTTCCTCATCAATGGCAGAAACCACAGCCAACAACCCTAGCCTCTGATATGGTGGCATAGTTCGAGGTGATCCGCTAGCTTCCTGGTAGGAGGTTGAACACATTGAACCCTTCCATTCTGAAGGGACAATGATTTACCTCTTGGAAAAGAAAGACATTTTGGATTAATATTTTCTTTCCTTCCTAACATAATTTTGTCGCATATCATCTGTGGTCTAAATAAATGCCTTATACATCATTTTGATGGTCTACGCAACATATTTCTTATCAAATACTTCACTTTACAGAAAATAATTAAAACAATGAGCCCATACACATGGGGTCATTGGACATATCATGTGCCCATCATCTAGAAACAAATGGATTATAGAACATAAATATGAACCTTTGTAAACATCGGAGCCAGTTGTAGGACCCTTGTGTGACATTAGAATATATCGTGTAAGGTAAATTGTATGCTTTGAATAAGCATCAATACTATACTCCCCACGTTGAAAATGAAGATGCGAAATGGAGTGAAGAGAGGTTGTACAAGGCTCACAGCCATATCTAGTGAAGCTCTTGATTGTGTTTGCTTCAAGTTATTATAGCTGGGCTTTGCTCATTTAGCACTTAGTGATAATGGCTAATATGTAGCAAACACTAGGTGCCAGGCTCAGTTCTTTAAGATTTACATGTGATAATCTATTTAGTCATTATAACAACTCTATGAGTAAACTACTATATTGTCCACATTTTTCAGATTAGGAAACTGAGTTCAGAAAATGCAATAGCCAGAATTTGAACACAGTTTAAGTTCAGTGTCCCTGGTCTTAACCACTGTCCTATATTACCTCTCAGTGGAGGTATGCTTCCAGGAGGAAACGCGAAGTTTATTCCACCGAATTGAAAGTTGTAATAGTCTCCCGGTTGTTTTGGGCTTCTCACTCTCTTGGGAGAACATGCAAAAAATTATTTTGTAGAGTTAGATGGGATAGAGGGCTGTGCTGCAGAACAAAGAGCCCGGAAGAGAAAGGAATAATTCAGGGACTGTCCTGGGACACTTCCTAATGGTATCATTTGCAGTTTTGTACAAGTCCACGGACATCTCTAGGCAGGATCATCAACCACTCAGTTCTCTCAGAAAGGAAGACTTGGGTCATATGCACCTCCTCATCCGAGAAAGCATCCCAACAAGTTGAGGCATTACCTAAGGTCAAAGGAAACATGAAATGGGTAATACAGAAGGGAACACATAAAAATTAACTATAGTATCATAACCAACTGTAGAAAAATAGATATGGTCTCCATGTGTATTTGTTTCTTTGCGGTGTGATAAATTCCTCCTTCTTTTGCTCTCTTTTTTGTCATGATTTAATATAATGTGAATTGGTGAGGTGAACTTCTACGATATGGACTGTCTACACTAAAACAGCACCAGCAAAAATCCTGTATCTGAAAGTGGAGCAAGAACTGCAAGATCTTAGGCTTTGGTGAAAGAGTGGGTGTACCTGCAATTGTATGAAAGATAGTTGCATTTTATTAAGAGATTTTCTTCCCTTCTTCCCTCCTTCTCCATCCCTCCTTTCCTTCCTTCTTTCCTTCCTTTTTTCTTTCGACAAGTTTTTTTTTTTTTTTTTTTTTTTTTTTGAGACGGAGTTTCGCTCCTGTTACCCAGGCTGGAGTGCAATGGCGCGATCTTGGCTCACCGCAACCTCCACCTCCTGGGTTCAGGCAATTCTCCTGCCTCAGCCTCCTGAGTAGCTGGGATTACAGGCATGCGCCACCATGTATGGTGGCTAATTTTTGTATTTTTAGTAGAGACGGGGTTTCACCATGTTCACCAGGATGGTCTCGATCTCTTGACCTCGTGATCCACCCGCCTCGGCCTCCCAAAGTGCTGGAATTACAGGCTTGAGCCACCACGCCCGGCAGACAAGTTTTAAGATTTAAGGAAGAGTATATTAATTTTCACCAGCTAAAGAGATAGACTACAGAAGAAACTTGTCTTTTTCCTTCCTCTTTCCAATACCTAACTCCTCTTTCTATTGTGGAGGAGTCATCTGTTATGTAGTATTCCTCCTCCATTACTGACTCTGAAATACTAGTTTTTCCCTCTATTTTTTAGCAAGCAAATCACAGGAACAACCGTAGACTTAGCCAATTAGTTACCTTACCTTCTTCTACTCCAGACCTTAAGTCTTGAAAGAATGATGCAAAGATGGATGTTAGAATTTGTTTCCATCATTGATGACAACATGTAGGCACTGTCTTTAATAATGACAGTGAAAACACCTAAAATTTTTTTAAGAGAATGATAGTGGCATCTGTTTCCTCTAGGAAAAGGGCAGGGGTGGACAGGGGCTGTGTTTGGTCCAACTTAGGAACTTTGGGTGGAACTAGGCAAGAGAAAAATGCGAACTTAGTGACAGTGTTGACTAGTAGTTGGAGGAATCCCTGCAAACTCATCTTTTGTCATGACAGCAAGACTTGAACAAGATTTTTTTTTTCCCAAACAAAACTGGGGGCAAATTCAGAGTCATAAGTGATTTTCTATTTATTTGGTATTTTTGGAAATAAAATGTTGACAAAAATTGAACAATTTCTATTCTTCTCCTAATTCCCTCTTTTAAAAATATGACCCTGCAACTAGGACATCGAAACCAAAGAACCACATAAAATATAGATACTGGTGTCCCAATGAACACTCGAATATGTAGTCCCAAACCACCAACAGGTGTAAGGCCCATGCACCTGTGGTGGAGGAAGGAAGGGAAAGCAACTTGGCCCTGATAGCCCTGAGAAAATGAGACCCCCCCAAATGCCAGTAGGCATGCACTGGAACTGTGGAGGCCCAATCTGAGAACAGCCAAACAATGGGAAGGGATTCTGCAGGATCCAATTTGTGAGTGAGTGCAAGAGGACAGCAGTGCGCTAATGACAGATGGTGCTGACCCATTCTGGACCCTAACCTTTTAGAACTAACCAACTAAAACTTTCTTGTGGCCAGGAATGGAAGTCACATATATAATCCCAGCTCCTTGGGAGGCCAAGGTGAGTGGATCGCTGGAGTTCAGGCATTCAAGACTAGCCTGGACAACATGGACAAACCCTGTCTCTACAGAAAAATACCAAAATAGGACAGGTGTGGTGGCATACACCTATAATTGCAGCTGTTCAGGAAGCTGAGGCAGAAGGATCCTTGCAGCCCAGGAGGTGGAGGCTGTAGTGAGCTGTGATGGTGCCACTGCACTCCAGCCTGACAGACAGAACAAGACACTGTCTCAAACAAAACAAAACAAAAATAAAAACTTACTTCTCCAACAAAACATCACACCAAGGAGAAACTTATGGGTATTTCCTATCCAAGTTGGGCAGGACAGGGATGATAGGAGCAAAAGAAGGAGAAGCTTCAGGTAAAACAGTAAGGGAGAGACTCAGGTCTCAGAAAGTACGCTATCAGAATGCCATATTTTTAATTGCTTTGTAAAACAACAGAGGAGGAAACTCTAGTGCCTTGAAGCTAGAAAAGCTATCCTGGCCACCCCTGCTTAATAAACCCTGTTTTACATTTATACTATAAGGTGTTTGTGGCACATATGCCACAAACTTTATATGCCATGCTAAGGAGTTAGGGCTTCATGCTGTAGGTGATCGAATGGTTTGAAATAGGAACCTGGCAGGAGTGGATTTGCAACCTTCAAAAACAGCAAGTTGTGATGGATAGGACAAATATGGTCGAAAGGAACCCAAGTCCGCTGCCTGCACTTTCTGGTGTGCCTTTCTGTATTGCAGATGTTACAAAGACTTAAAAACTACATCTCTCAGGCTTCTTCATCCAGTTTTGAGATTTAGATTCAGGCAAGCAGGCCCACTCATGCAAGATTTAGAAGGCAGTCAGGGACTTCGTTCAGTCATTGACTGTTTTCTGCTGGCAGGCATGACCAAGAGTCCTGGGGTCTATGCAGCATGTTCCTGAATCCATTCATTGGTTTCTTGAATGCCAACACGCTGGGCATAAGTCAGCCAGTTTTTCTTCAGGTGTGATCTGGCAAGAGTGACATGGCTCTTGATACAAGTTATAGTGGTGGTAATATGCTGATCCCTGAACTTCACCTAAAACGGCATGTCCCTAAAACCAAGTATTCTAGGGTGTTTCCTGATTCCTTACCTTTCTGATTGGGTGGAGGGAGCAGTTTCCTAGGATGAGTTCTGTGGTATTTTGCAAGTCTTTCTAGAATCCTGGCCTAGAGCATGCTCCTTGACATTTTCAAACATTCCCAAATTATCCATATTTGTCTTTTTTTTTTTTTTTGCTTTAAGAAAGATAATATTGTTTTTGTCTTCTGAAGCTAAGCCAAAATTTGGAAAGTCAGGAAAGACTCCATAGTTTATAAAGGGTGTGTACCACCTCTTAAAAGTGAGATCGAAATGGAATTGACAGAAAGGCAGGGGGTGGACATTTCAGACTGGAATGGTAGTTTTAAACAAATGCTCAGAGACAAAGTTATCAATATTTCCTTATGGGAAGCCAAGGAAACCAGGCTAACCTGAACAAAGGTTAGGCACACAGGAACTATGGGCTATCGTATGTGTAGGAGGGATGGGGAGAAATCTTAAGGACCCTAAGAGTCAAATAGAGAATCTTATGCCAGATGGAATAGCATCTAGAAGGGCAGTGAGGTCATGAGATAAACACAAAGTAGAGAAAAATGAGAATGTTCAGTGGAGAGCCAACGGAGACAACAGGTTTTGGAAATGTTGAATGATGCTGGATATCCCAATAATGCTGATTCATTTTTGCTTCTGAGGAAAAGCTAGACAATATGAGGCTCTGGAGCCATCACCTCCCTCACCTGTACCAGTGGTGGATGGTTCCTCCCAAACATGACCCAGTTTCTTGCTAAAACCAAACTTTGCCTCAGAATTCTCACAGAGCTCCAAGTAGTCATTAACAATCAATAGAACTTGGCATGAGAAACAGAACCTACTAGTTGTACCCAGTGTAATAAATGCCGTTCTAGCAAATCCTGACAATTATAGTAAAATATTAACCTCTTTTATTTATTTATTCACATATTTTATTGTAAACACAATTAGCAATCTCATTCTTCTCAGACACAACAATAATGATTTCAGTGATTAAACTCATAAAAGAGCAACATGTAGTTTTCCGTGACTAAATACAGGTTTCAGAAGGCATAAACAGATTGTGTCAATAGTCTGTCCCTGTGACAGATTCTGAAGTGCCTCTAAGTCTTATAAACACTTCCATGCACTGTTAAGTTCACAGTAAGTGACATGTGTTTAGCATTATATGTTCTAACAACTCTAAGATTAATTTCAAAAAGATCAAATAAACAGAGACGCATGTAATTCTTCTCATCACCTGTCACTGTCAGTATTTGTAACTGAACCAGTTAGAGGCCTGCAAGTCATTGGTTGTAGTGATCCCATGAAAACCAGGCCTACCTAAACTTAGGAAGACATACTTTACCCTTTCTAAATGACAGACTTGTCATCCTAAACTGAAGTTTGGGATTGGGTTCTTAGGAAAATAGATAAAAGTTATTTATAAGTGGGTTTTGAGGACAGACTGACCAGATCCTAGATGTGAGGGGATTTGGGAGTTGCGTGAGGGATAATAGAATAAAGAAATGGAAATTTAAATTTTTTTAAGGAACGTATCAATACAAGAGTATATGCTGTGGATAGTGAAGTAGGCAGAGTATTCTCACTAAGTGAAAGTGTGGTGATATTTCCCTACAAAATATCCTGGAGGGAGCTGAATATAGAGAACAGACTTTTTCAGAGTGCTAATACATGGATCTGAGCATTTTTTTCTGAGAGTTGCATGTGAAACCATACAGCCAAGCTCTCTAAAGATAATTATACAGAAAGAGAGACGCTTTTGGAGACCATTGATTATAACCCCCCTCCATCTTCACCACTATGGCCCTAGACCAAACTCCCATCATCTCTCCCATGGACCATTGCAGTAGCCTCCTACCTGGTCTCCCCTACCCCCTGACCCCTCTACAAAAGTATTTTTGTAGAGGCATGAACACAGAAGGTAGTTCATGCCTCTGCTTAAGGCTCTCATGTCATCTGCACAGCAGTAAGAGTGGTATTTGCACTCTAGTGTGGATCAGAATCACCTAGAGGGTTTGTTAAAACAGATCTCTGGCCCCACTTCTAGAGATTCTGATT